TTTTTAAGGTAATTTATTGGGTTTCCCTGCCCTCTATCCTTGTTTAGAGAAAAAGCACTTCACAGAGCAACACCCTGTCTTTTTCTCCGCAGCTCTGAAGTTCATCAGCTCTAAATCACTGTTTCCCTGCCTTTAGGTACTTAATAATATCCACATATTACTACTATAATGAATTGCCACAAACTTAGTGCCTCAAAACTATACCAATTTATTTTCTTGCTGTTTTGGAGGTCAGAAGCCCAAATTCAGTTTCACTTGGCTGAAGTCCAGTGTCAGCAGGGCTGGCTCCTGCAGGTTCCGAGGGAAGAATCCATTCCCTTGCCCTTTTCCAGCTTCCATGTTCCTTGACTTGTGGTCCTTCCTCCATTTTCAAAGCACATCACTCCAATCTCTGCTTTATCATCACCTCACCTTCTCTTCTGCCTCCTGTTATAAGGATACTTGTAATTACATTGTTGGACCAGGATAACCTCTTCAACTCAAAATCTTTCATTTAATCACATCTGAAAAACCCCTTTTGTCACATAACGTAGCGTATTCCCAGGGTCTGAGGATTAGGATGTAGACTCTTGGGGGTTATTTATTATTCAGCCTATGGCATGGCTGTTGGGCAATCACTGCAGTATGAGATTACATAGTAAAAAAAAATGGTCAGTTCCTCCCATTTTAATCAACCTACTGGTGTTTAGATTAATTATTTCTAAAATAAATAAAATTAAGCAAAATTAAGTTAAAATTTAAAATATGGACAAACTAAGTCTTTCAGCAGCTACTGATGTTTTATACTTCTTCCATCCCTGAAGAAAAAATGTAAGCCCTGCTGCCTCTCATTTAGAGACAAGATTTTGAGAGGTCCAGTGACTTACTTTAAAACATTTAATCAGTGTCCTAGAGATGGAACTGGAATGCATGTCCTTTCAACTCTTAGGATTTAACAGCAGCATCGGTCATCCCCCAAACAATGTCAAATAACCATTTATCAAATAACTTATGGTAACGAAAAGTGAGGTTTCCTCCAGCTCTTGGAGAAAAAAATGATTCTCCATGAAAAACAGCCATAAAATTAAAATTTTAATTTAAAAATAAGACTAGAGAGTTCAGTCTCTTCCACATAACCATTTTTCTGAGATGCTTCATTGAGAAATGGCATGATTTTCCTTATTGCCGGGGTCATTACTTCACCAGTTAAAAGTAAATAAATAAAAATGTATTTTCCATTACTGCCTTTTAAAAAAGCTTTCCTTGTCATTGTATAATAGCCAATATATATCTATGACCATTATTTTTCAATTTGGACTCTCAAGGTCAATTTTTCCAGAGACTCTGGGCTTACAGTTTAATTACAAGGTAATGATGGGGGTGACCATGGTCTGTGCAATCCACACCACTGTGAATCAAGAAAGGCAAACATTCCTGGTCTGGGAATGCTTTCTTTCTTTTGTATGGAAAATGGAACTCACTAAAATGAAACCTTAACCCCTGGTTTCACCCAGATCACCTCGCAGCTCTGTCACTTAATAGTTGTGTGAAAATGTGTAAGTTACCTAAGTTCTCTAAGACGTTTTCTTCCCATCTGCAATGCGGAAAAAATATATATAATAATACCTACCTTGTGGCATTATTGTGCCAATGGAGTAAGAAGGAGTATAAAGGGTTTAGCACAATGTCTCCGCAGAGTGAGCAGGCAGTGAATGCAGTCTTCTTTGTTGATGATGAGGACAAGGGCAATAGTCCTATGCTAATAGGAGTATTTAGAGGGAGAT